AAAGCGGTCAAACAAGTGTTACGTTACTTAAAGGGAACCGTGTTTCATGGGCTGCTTCTACGCCGTAGCACTCGGTTACATCTTGCCGCTTTCTTAGATTCAGATTGGGGTGGTGTTCATGATGGTGGTCAATCTACGACTGGTTATGTTTTATTCTTGGGGTCCAATGTAATTTCTTGGCGCTCGGTTCGACAGAAGGCAGTAACTCGTTCTTCTGCGGAAGTAAAATATCGGGCTTTAGCAAATGCGGCGGCTAAGGTTATATGGGTACACAATTTATTGCAAGATATGGGGGTTGTTCTACCTCAATCTCCGGTGTTGCATTGTGACAATTTAAGTGCTACGTATGTCTGCCAAAACTCGGTGTATCATTCAAGGATGAAGCATCTTGCGTTGGACTACTTCTTTGTTCGGGATCATATTGTAAATGGTACACTTCGTGTGCAACATTTTCCGACTACTTCCCAAATTGCTGATATTCTCACAAAGGGCTTGAGAAGACGATCGTTTGAGCATTTTCGTACCAAGATGGGAATCACTGATGGCTCCTCCATCTTGTGGGGGCGTATTAAGGATTAGTATTATTAGTGGTTATAATTGTTTATTTCTCTTGTATTTAAATTCTATGGCTCACTTTATTATTCTCCTTTATTAGCTTGCACATAGATAGCTAGCTGTTAGCATATTTCTTATGTATATAAAGGGTTGTAAAGTATGAATAGAATGATCAGTTTTCACTTCCATTATATTTCTATAAAGTATTCTCCAAAAAAACACTTGTAATTAATAACTTCAAAACTCTCTCTCACACACACACACACACACACACACACACACACACACACACACACACACACACACACACACACACACACACACACACACACACACACACACACACACACACACACACACACACACACACACACACACACACACACATATATATATATATATATATATATATATATATATATATATATATATATATATATATTTTGTGTTGATCTTTTAAGTCAAATATTTTAACGTACTTTTGGATATATTATTCTATTTAATTAAAAGAAATACATAATTTTTTTTTAAATATAGTATATATAAAATTTAACATCTAATATTCAAACGAAATTTCTATTTAGATCTGACATAACTAAAAATATATGAAGTAATAACTTATTGAGTTCAACAACAATAATTTTTTTATTCTAATTTTTATTTATGATAATGTGAGTAGTGTTTAAGTGCATGCGAATACTCTATGCCGGATAAGTGGATGAAGTAGACAAGATAGATGATGGTGGATAGGAATTATGTATATAATGTTAAGTCTATATGTGGCTGATATTACATTTAATCTTTTATCTGTTCTAATATTATTCCTGTAGACTAGCTTAGTTATAACTCCTCCCTAACTCTCCTCTCCTGTATTACTATATATAGTCTTTTGTAGGATCGAAGTAAATGGTAGTAGGTGGTGTCCGGGTGAGTAAGTGGTGGATCAATAGGCAATTAAGGTATATATGAGCAACTTCATTAGTAGGATATTTGGGTTGATTTTTGTCACAGTCATGAAGGAGGGTGAGGTATAACTAGAAAAGAGGAAGAAAAAAAAAGAGCATGTTCACGCGCGACAGTGGATGCAACTTTTGTGTTTTTTTGTTACTAAGTGTGACCCACAAAAAGCAGCTTCTTGAAGGAGAAAAATCACAAAATAACCACAAGCCACATTTGTTGAAAAACCATCTCCAAATTTTTTTGGTCTGGAAAATCATTAAAAAAAAAAAACTAATAGGGTTACTACTGGAAATTCTGAAATTTTCGACCACCTGAAAATTATCTTAAATCAAGTCGAAAGTCTTGTTCCAACCACTTTTGGTATCCGGAAAAACCCTTGTTTCTATTTCTGACCACTTTTTGCTTTCAACTTGATTTAAGATCACATTTTGGTGGTCGGAAATTCAATAATTTTCAATAGTGGGTTGCTTTAAGCAGGAGGTAGTGTGTTTTTGCATTAGTGTCTTGCTTCAAAAAAAAAAAAAAAACGATAATTATTGATGAGATTATGTGTATTTTTGCATTTTAAGAATTTTGGAAAATAAGAAAAATGTGTTTTTCAAATTCATTTGTTAAATTTTTTTAAAAAATAAGAAAATTATCCAATTAAACATTTTTTTTCGATCTCCTACGTTTTCCTTTTCTAGAAAAAAAAAAATTATATTCAGTTAGTAAGACTCCGTTTGGAAAGTAGGAAAATAACTTCTGGAAAATGTTTTCTGAGAAATGAGTCTTCCAGAAAACATTTTCCTTTCTGGGGTTTGGCTACACAACGTAAAACTATCTTTGTGTGTTTGGTTCATTTTCCCGTAAATGAGTAGAAAAATGAAAATAATTGAATACTTCAAAATTTTAATTGTTTGATATTATTGATAAAATCTTTTTGTGAATAGCACTCTTTGGATATATATATATATATATATATATATATATATATATATATATATATATATATATATATATATAATATTTTAAAAAATGATAACTTTTTTTTAAAATTTTAAAATACAAAAAAAATTAATATTATTCGTAATTTTTTTTTTAACTTTGAATTAAAAAAAATGCGCAGATCGGCTCGCGGGGTCCGCCAACCCGCAGGGGCGGGCTTTGGTTGCATGAATCCTAGCCTGCGGGTTTGGTGGGCCGACTCGCAAAAGCTCGCAAAAAATTAGGCACGAAAATTTTGCATGTGCATCCTTTGGAAAACGACTTCCCCCCAAAAAAAAAAAGGAGAAGTCATTTTCCCCCAAAAACATACATATTTTCCTTTGACTAATGCATTATTTTCCATTGACCACATTTTTCCCTCTCTTGTCAAACATTGAAAATTCAAAAAACATTTTTCGGAAGTCATTTTGCGTGTTTTCAAACGCACCCTAAATGTATCTAAAGAGTTGGTTTTCTTTTTCTTTTTTCTTTTTTTTTTTTAAAAAAAAATCAATACATAATTTCACATTAAGGGTCTTTTTGAAAATCGAAAATGACGTTTGGAAGTCATTTTTCATATTTTCTCGTATTTGTGTACTCAAATAAAATAGAGTCAAATGAAAATGTTTATGTTGGTCAATAGAATAAAGATCTGTCTAATTAATTTGGTGGTCTTCTTAGATTTTTAATCGGAAGACATTTTGCAGATAGGGATGGCAATTTCAATCCGACCCGTGGATATCCACCCGAATCCACTCCGCATGGATCGGGTTTTTTTGGGTGATGGTGGGTGGTGGGTCAGGGGTGGGTCTTAAAAAAACAAACCCGCGGTAGGTCGGGTTGGATTCGGGTTCTATGTACAAGACCCGCCTAGAACCCCACCCGACCCACCATGTGCATGTGTTTATACATAGTCAAGGGACCATTTTGGTAATTAACTTTAAGGGTGGGCAACTCGGTTCAATTTTATCGAACCGAACTGTACCAAACTAGTTAGATTTGGTAATATACCGAACAACCGAACGGTAATATATTCTTGTATACCGAATGGTTCGGTAAAAACTCGAACCGAACTGAAATTGTTCGGTAAAAACCGAACCGAACCGAATACCATTTGAACTTTGGATTGCTATTTTGTTATATATTAGACTTTGGATATGGACTATGTAAACACCATAACACATAATATAGAACTTTTGATAACAAACCATAAAGAAATCAAATAAAACATTTACGAGATACCCGTGAGAATATGAGATGAACGGCAGAGCAAGCAGTAAGGGACTTGGATTTACTTTTTATTTATTTATTTATTTATTTATTTATTATTATTATTATTATTATTATATTTAAAAAAAAATCAAACGATATTCGGTTCAGTTCAATTTTTTACCGAACAATTCGGATTGGTTCGGATCGGTTTTTTATCGAACCGTTCGGTATACAAGAATCCAATACCGTTTGGTTGTTCGGTATATTAACGAACCAAATTAGTTCGGTTCGGTTTGGTACTGTTCAATTGGAGAAAACTAAACCGAATTGCCCACCCCTAAAGTTAATTACCAAAATAGTTAACGGTTGACTAACGGTCAAACAAACGGAGGACCAAATTGGTTAATTTTTTAAAGTTGAAGGGCTTAATTGGTTTAAAAAAATAGTCAAGGACCAAATTGGTAATTTCACTATAGTCAAGGGACTATTTCGATAATTAACTTCTTTTTTTTTTTTTTTTTTTTTTTTTTTTTTTTTTTTTTTTACGTTTCTTTCTTCTTCTTATTATTATTAATATTAATATTATCCACTTGGATAGTATTATATTTTAAAGTAATTATAATCAAAATAGTTTTGTCTTGACGAGATTTGATTTATTTATTTACTGCATTTCTGTTTTAAAAAAAAATAATAAATAAATAAATTAGATCTAGACAAGACAAAATTATTTTGATTATAATTACTTTAAAATATATTAGTATGTGGTGGATTATAATAAAAAACGTAAATAAAATAAATATTTGACAATCCAATCAGTAAAAATCTGGAGTTAACCTGTTAAAAACGTTGTTTGCTCTTTTTTTTTTTTTTTTTTTTTTCGAGGTTCAATGGCTTATTTAATTTGGAAGTTATTTGAGTCCGATGGCTTAATTGATGTTTCTCAAATAGTTCAGTGGCTTATTTGTACTCTATCTCTAATATAAATACCTTGAAAATGGGCATGTAAAGGGTTTGCATTTTCCTATTCTAGAAGAGCAATATTGCAATAACACTATCTCATTGTCTAATTCTTGCAAAAAGCTTCTTTATTCCATTTATGATTGATTGTGTTGACATACCAATTGTTGTAGTTATTAAACCAACAAAGGGCACATGTTGCAAAGTTTGATATTGATTCACCAAAATGATCAATTTCAAATCATTGATAAACAAAAATGCATTTTCCATCTTTTAATCGTTGAGATTTCTCATGAACGTGCCAAAAATTTGTAAACAATGCAAAAAATTAGTGCATAAGAACTAAAATGTGAAACAAATTGAAATGAAAGGATGTTGGTAAATTCTTCATTCCAACCAGACTTAATGTTGTTTAATGCGATAATAAGAACAACGTTTCCAATAAACGCATGGCATTTGACAACAACTGCGATAAGAAAAACAACGCTTTCAATAAAACATGGCATTTGACAATAACTCTATCAACATAGTAAGCGATAAGATGGAATTGCAAGCAAGTGTTTTGATTTTGCAGTTACCAACCCAAAAGCCTCTTCCATGTCCATCTCACTAGGTGACTTACCTTTAGGCAACTCCCAATCAAAGCCATGAACCAAATTACTCACAATCAATTTAACATTGAGTAACCCCAACTTTGCTCCTGGACACATTCTCTTTCCATATCCAAATGGCAGAAGAACAAAATCATGCCCGAGAATATTAACATCACTATCAATAAATCTCTCGGGAATGAAATCATCTGCATTAATGTTAGGCCAAATACTAGAATCACGCCCGATTGCCCAAGCGTTTACTGTAACTCGTGATTTTGTAGGTATGTAATACCCATTTATCTCGATGTCCTCCATTGACTCTCTAGGAAGGAGCAAAGGTGCCGGGGGATGGAGCCTGCCTGTTTCTTTAATCACCATCTCTAGATATTGCAATTTAGGCAAGTCCTTCTCCTCAACCATTCTATCGAGTCCAATGTTGGCTTCAAGCTCGTCTTGGAGACGTCTCATTGCCCCGGGATTTCTTAGGAGTTCAGCCATAGTCCATTCGATCCACGTGTTCGAGGTATCAATGGCTCCTAGGATTAATTCGAAGAGAAGTGATTTAATATTTTCTTGGTCAAGTTTGTGTGCCGAGGATAACGTTTTGGAGGATAGCATCATATCTATGAAATCCATGTTGCCCTTTTTAGTGCCATTTCTTGCATCTTCCTCATGTTTGTTGATAATTTCCCCAACTACGTTGTCCATGGCTTTTCGAACTGCCTTCATTCTCTTATACAGCCCCTGCAGTTTGTTTGCACATTAAATAAGAGGAAAAATACTCCTTATTTCAGTTTGATACATTCTCTAATTTATTATTTTTATGATCAATTTAAATTTGGACTAAAGTTTAATTTAATAAAGCTTAACTTCATTTTTTTTTCATAAATCGAATTAGTCAACTACTGTCAAAGATACAAGGGTAGCTTAGTCATGATAAACCACAAACAGGGACCATATTGTATTTTCATCCTTTCTTGTTTCTGTTATAACCGCCTCACCCGCCATTCCTCTTGTACAAAAACTCTGTTCGTTCTTCTTGTTAAAACTGATCAATACAATCTCTTTTTCTCCTGTTTACTCTGAGCACATCACCTCTCGGTGATTCCCACTTACGTTTCCGTCATGGTATCAGAGCCACCGCGGTTCTCCTACGCCGCCGTGGTCACCAGCTCCGGCGAGACCAGTCGCGGAGTCCATCCGATGCAGCCAACGCAACAGCCTCCGGTCCAGAGTTCGTCCATGGCCGATCTACAGAGGAACCTTGCTTCGCAGAGAAGCAGCAGTGTTGATGATATTGAGAATCCCTTGCATATCAACATTAACGAAAATCCGAGTGCTATCTTGGTCAATCCACCACTCTCAGGCAGTGCAAACTATGCTTCATGGTGCATTTCGATGCAAGTTGCCCTAGAAGTCAAAAACAAATGGAGTATAATTGATGGAAGCTTGCCACCACCAGAGAGAACTAGTGCTCTATATCCTCCATGGAGAAGGTGCAACTTAATGGTCTGTTCGTGGATTCTCAGGTCTGTTCTCCCGTCGATCGCGCAGAGCGTGATGCATATGGACAAAGCTGTTGACGTTTGGAACGATCTGAAGAGGCGCTTCTCTCAGCGAGATGCGCACAGAATTTCCTTCTTGCAGAAAGATATCAACAATCTAACGCAGGGAGACATGTCGATCAACGACTACTACACTAAATGTCGAACTCTCTGGGAGGAGATGAACTCCCTCCGACCCTTGCCGATCTGCAAATGTCAGCCGCGTTGCTCTTGCGATTTGTTAGACCAAATCAGGCTAGATCGGGAGATCGATCATGTCATACGGTTTCTCCAGGGATTAAACGAAGAATATAACACTTTAAAGTCCGCAGTCCTTGTTCTCGATCCTCTCCCTGAGATGCATAAAGTGCTTGTAATGGCGGAGAAACACGAAAGACAGTTGACAGTCACAAACTTAAGCTCTGGAAATCTCAGCTTCACTCATGCTAATGCCGTTCACACTGGACAGAACAGTGAAGAAGAAATGGCGGCTGCAGTTAATTTCTCCAATTTCTCCAATGGGAGAAGGATGACACAATCAGGAGGAAACAACAAGAACCTAGCAAGATGTACTTTCTGTGGCATGACGGGGCACACCATTGAAAAGTGCTACAAGAAACATGGCTACCCTCCCGGGTGGGTGCCAGGTTTCAAGTCCAAGAACAAGCAACAATCTATGACGGCCAGTACAAGTGCTGAAAACAACTTCTCTCCTGAGCAGATTCAGAGTATTCTCTCCCTAATTCAAAACCAAATGGGGCAAAATAGGTCCGTCACCTCAGCAGCCGTATCCCTTGTCCCCAACTTCAACAAAGAGAGCTCTAATACTGAAGGCAAGTATACTGATCCCATGCACATTAGCTCTGCTTATTTGAATTCTTATGCTTGGATTGTTGATTCGGGTGCCACCGATCACATAGTCTGCTCTTTAGACTTCTTTGATAACTACCGCACTGTGAGTGAAGCCAAAGTCAATCTGCCCGATGGAAATCATGTCACTGTTGAACATATTGGTAATATAAAGCTGAGTAATAACATCTGGTTGAAGGATGTGTTACACATACCATCATTTAAATTCAACATCATTTCTGTCCATAAACTACTTCAGAACTCAGCTTACTCCTTAATGTTTACCTATGGTCAGTGTCTTCTTCGGGAGGACCATGGGAGGATGATTGGATTTGCTAAAGAAGAAAAGGGGCTCTACCTGCTGTATGAACCACCAAGGATCAATTTCAATAATAATGTTTGTAATCGTGCCTATATGCAGTGCAATAATGTAGAACTTTGGCATCAACGATTGGGACATTTTCCCGTAAATAAGATGCATTTTCTTGATGGTATTTCTATTTCAAATACACGAAATTTGATTTGCCATACCTGTCATTTAGCTAAGCACAAGAGATCCTCATTTCCCTTAAGCAATACTGTCTCAGCTTCTTGTTTTGATCTGATTCATGTGGACATCTGGGGCCCTTTTCATGTGCAATCTCTAGGAGGAGAAAGATATTTTCTTACCATTGTTGATGACCACTCAAGATACACATGGTTGAAATTGATGAAGAGCAAAGCAGAAACTCGGGAACTAATACAAAATTTCCACAAGATGGTTCTTACTCAGTTTGGAGTAGCCATTAAGATGCTGCGAAGTGATAATGGGGCAGAATTCAGCATGGAAACCTTTTTCAATAAGAATGGGATGGTTCACCAACGATCATGTGTCTCAACTCCTCAGCAAAATGCAGTCGTGGAACGTAAACACCAACATATTTTGGCAATTGCTCGTGCTCTCCGGTTCCAGGCAGGACTTCCTTTAAGCTTCTGGGGTCAGTGTGTGGTCCATGCCGTATATCTCATCAATCGATTACCATCCGCCGTTCTGGAATGGAAAACTCCACACCACAAGTTGTATGGGAAAAGCCCAGACCTCAAAGATATAAAGACGTTTGGATGCTTGTGTTATGCTGCCACTTTGTCGTCCTCACGTCACAAGATGGCACCTCGAAGTAGAAGGTGCATCTTCATTGGAATGCCAGCAGGGGTAAAGGGATACATCCTGTATGATCTCGTGGAAGGCTCAGTGCTTGTTTCGCGTGATGTTGTCTTTTATGAGGATACATTCCCTATGGCCAGTGTTGCCGATCCTAACTCACAAGAAATGGTTCCTTCTCTTCCTAACATTCCCATAATGATGAATGAAGACTCCAGTTCACACTTGCCATGTGAAGATCACTCTCAGGAACGTGAAGAACACATTGAGAGGCCCCTAAATTCTGCAAACAGAAATGCAGAACAGCCATTGAGCTCAGCCACTGAAGATTCTGTTTATAATCAGAGTATTAGTGAAAGCCTTCCGAGGAGCACTGAGGATGACTCTACTAGCTATGACAATCCTAGTGTCATACAGATTCCTATTACCATCACACAACAGCCAAATACACAGCTCCGACGTTCTAGCAGGACACATCAACCATCCAAAAGGCTAGAAGGATATCTCTGCGACAGTGTGGTTAGTAACAGAACCTCTCCCCATCTCTTGTCAAATGTCATGACTTATGACAACCTTGAACATCACCAACGAAGATTCTCCATGGCTGTTGCCACAATTACTGAGCCAAAAACATACAATCAGGCTATCAAAAACGATGGTTGGAAGCAAGCTATGAATGCAGAAATTCTGGCCCTTCAAGAAAATAATACCTGGGAACTCGTTGATCTACCACCAGGAAAAGTACCCATTGGCTGCAAATGGGTTTATAAAGTGAAGCTTAAAGCCGACGGCACGATTGAGAGATACAAAGCGAGGCTTGTCGCGAAGGGCTTCACACAACAACTTGGCGTTGATTATCTTGAGACGTTCTCCCCAGTGGCAAGGCTAACTACCATTCGCGTATTGATCAGTGTGGCTGTGTCTAAGGCATGGCACATCCACCAAATGGATATCAACAACGCGTTCTTACATGGTGATCTCAACGAGGAAGTGTACATGGTGCTGCCACCCGGTTTTCAAAGTCAAAAACCGAATCAAGTTTGCAAGCTTCTACGTTCTTGGTATGGATTGAAACAAGCTAGCCGGCAATGGAATGCCAAGCTTAGTGCAGCCCTCCATCATGCTGGATACAAACAATCAACCAGTGATCCATCTCTTTTTACAAAGGGCAGCAGTAACAATGATTTCATTGCCCTACTTGTTTACGTCGATGACATCATTGTTGCTAGTGCAAACATGAGCCTCATCCAACATCTCAAAGACTTCCTGCATTCTGCATTCAAAATTAAAGACCTTGGACCATTAGGTTACTTCTTGGGGATCGAAGCTCAAAATGAGAAAGATGGTCTAAGTTTGTGCCAACACAAATATGCTCTGGAAATCCTAGAAGAGACTGGATTCATTAACAGCAAACCAGCAGCAACACCCATGGTTCAAGGGCAGAAACTGATTCATAATGAAGGGGAACCTCTCCCAGACGTTAGTGTGTACAGAAGGCTGGTTGGACGATTGTTATATCTCACCGCCACCAGACCTGACATCGCATTCGCCGTACAACAGCTGAGCCAGTTTGTAGACGCCCCCACAGACACACATCTATCAGCTGCTCATAGAGTATTACGTTATATTAAGCGATCACCAGGCCAGGGGTTATTTTTTCCCACTCATTCTGATTTTCATCTTAATGCTTTTTCGGATTCCGATTGGGCAGCCTGTATTGAGACGCGTAGATCAGTGACCGGGTACTGCATTTTTCTGGGCTCCTCGCTTGTTTCATGGCGTTCTAAGAAGCAGGCAACGGTCTCCAGGTCCAGTTCCGAGGCAGAGTACCGTGCCATGGCCTCAACTGTATGTGAGCTTCAATGGCTCTCTTATCTACTTCATGACTTGCAGATACCAATGCTGAAACCTGCTACCTTATTTTGTGACAACAAATCCGCAGTGGCAATAGCCGAGAACCACGTTTTTCATGAACGCACGAAACATATCGATATTGATTGCCATATCGTGAGAGAGAAGTTCACCCAAGGCCTGATCAAAATCCTATCCGTAACCTCGCAAAATCAGGTTGCCGATGGCTTCACAAAGCCCCTCCCTACTGCAGACTTTCATCTTTTCACTTCTAAGCTAGGCACGAAGGATTTATATGCCCCAGCTTACGGGGGGGTGTCAAAGATACAAGGGTAGCTTAGTCATGATAAACCACAAACAGGGACCATATTGTATTTTCATCCTTTCTTGTTTCTGTTATAACCGCCTCACCCGCCATTCCTCTTGTACAAAAACTCTGTTCGTTCTTCTTGTTAAAACTGATCAATACAATCTCTTTTTCTCCTGTTTACTCTGAGCACATCACCTCTCGGTGATTCCCACTTACGTTTCCGTCAACTACCAATAGATACAAGAATATGAGAGCAGATTTTTTGTGCACACCGACATTTGACCCTGTCTGTTAAATTATTGAGTCACCGTGACTTACATCCTTGAATTAGTCAACTACCAAGGATCCTGTTCGAGATTTTAATAAATTGAAACCCAAATATTAGGTTACAATTCTTAACCAGAACCTTTAGATTTGATTGTTATAGTGTCATGATTCAAACATGAAACCATAGCAAAAATGTGAATGTTATTTACCTGAAGATCAAATGGCTTGAGAAAGGGTACATATTCAGCAATATTGAAGGCTCCCATCAATGCCATAACCTCGTGAACAATGCTCTTCAACCCATACTTCTTGTCGTTGCTAAACCCAAAAAGCATTTTATAAGTTACGTTCTCTATCAACTCCCCCACCATTTCACTAAGATCCACCACCTCCCCGCCGGCGGCCGCCATTTTTATCGACGCTAATAAAGCCCCAACTTCCTCTCTCCTAACGCCGGCAAAAGACTCAATCTTCGCGGTGTTAAGGAGCTCTTGGATTGAAAACTTCTTGGTTTTTCGCCACTCGAAATCAGGAGGCGAGAAGGCCATTCCCTTAGAACTATTCATGAAATGTTCCACGGCGTCGAGCCTCGGCCGGTTGGAGAAAACGTCGTCGTGAGTTTTAAGGATGAGCTCGGCGGCGGAGGGGGAAGAGATCACCACCATGGGTACACTGCCTAGTTTTAAGAACATGATGGGACCGTACTTTTTGGATAGGTTGTTTAAGGCACGGTGAGGGGTGTGGCCTAGCATGTGGAGGTTTCCGATGATGGGAAGGCCGCGCGGCCCTGGTGGAAGTTTCTTGCGGCTTTTTGACGACGCCGGAGTCCATCTCCTGGCGATGAACCACAGGAGGATTCCGGCGAGGATTGATAGAAGAGATGGTACAATGGGGAACATTATTTGTACGAATTATGGTGCAATGATAGCTATTTTGATACTCGATAGCTATTATATAGGCACATGCATGTCTTGCAGTCTTAGGTTGTTATTGTTCGCGTGAGCAATCTTATGAAAAAATTTGCTGTCAAAAATATGACAGATTATGTAAATATTGTGTTTATTTATTTATAATTGATTATATTATGTAAATATTATGTAAAAGAATTATGTAAATATTGTGTTTATTTATTTATAATGGATTATATTATGTAAATATTGTGTTTATTTATTTATAATTGATTATATTATGTAAATATTATGTAAAAGAATTATGTAAATATTGTGTTTATTTATTTATAATTGATTATATTATGTAAATATTATGTAAAAAAAAATCATGTAAATATTGGGTTTACTTATTATAATTGATTATATTATGTAAAAAAAATGTAAATATTGTATTTACTGGTTTGCTTAGATTATTTTTTTGGGGTGTAAATCACACTGTGATCCGGGTCTTTCTCTGTCCGTTTAATGTACAAGTCCACCCGGTTCGCTCCAAGAGGCGTGATCCGGGTCTTTCTCTGTCCGTTTAATGTACAAGTCCACCCGGTTCGCTCCAAGAGGCATAGTTCGTTTAATGGTCCAAGTCCACCCAAGTCCACCCGGTTCGCTCCAAGAGACACAAAAGCAAGCCCAAAGGAAATTGTCACTTGTGAGAATCGAACCTAAGTTATCTCAAAATTCTTCCCCACAAAAAGAGCTCATTTGCCACTTGAGCTACACCGTTGGGCTGATTTGCTTAGATTTAAGCCCTAGTGTAGGAAACTGAAGTACGTGTATATGTATGAAACTGATGTACGTGTGGTCCACTGATACCAAATTGTTCCCCTATGTGGGATGTGGTGGGTTCGAGCCTTGGTGAATGCAATTATGGTAACATTTGATGTAGTAGCTTGTATATGTGGGTATCCCCACTAATAAACATTATTTTTATAGTTAATTTTTAATAATTAATTAAGTAATTTATTTTTATTTTTATTTATTATTGTTATTAGTAGCTTTGTTTATTTTATTCAATTTTATGTTATTTTTATTATTAAACTAGTATGGGATAAAGTACAAATAAACCACTGAACTATTTGGGAAACAACAATTAAGTCATCGAAATCAAATAACCCCCAAATAATAAGCTATTGAACTCGAAAAAAAAAGAGCAAATAAGCTATTGAACTAAGAAAAAAGAGCAAATAACATTTTTAACAGGTTAACTCTAGTTTTTTGTTAACTAGATTGTCAAATGTTTATTTTATTTATGTTTCTCTTATTATAATCCACCTACATAGTAATATATTTTAAAGTAATAATAATCAAAATAGTTTTGTCTTGTCGAGATTTGATTGATTTATTATTATTATTATTATTATTATTATTATTATTATTATTATTATTATTATTATTATTATTTTACTAGATCTTCTGTTTAAATAATAATAATAAATAAATAATTTAGATCTATACAAGATAAAATTATTTTAATTATAATTACTTTAAAATATATTACTATGTAGGTGGATTATAATAAAAAAAATGTAAATAAAATAAACATTTGACAATTCAGTCAGAAAAAACCTGGAGTTAACCTATTAAAAATGTTAATTGCTCATTTTTTTTCCGAGTCAATGGCTTATTTGGGGGTTATTTGAGTTCGGTGGCTTAATTGCTATTTCTCAAATAGTTCAGTGGCTTATTTGCACTTTATCTCAACTAGTATTTTCACTCGTGCGATGCACGAATGGATTTGTTATAATATATTAAAAATATTTGGATCGTTATACAATTATTTAAATTCTAACATAAAATATTATATAGTGTAATTTTGTCATTTTGAAAAAATAAAAAAAAATGGATTATATTATGTAATATTATGTAAATATTGTGTTTACCTATTATAATTGATTATATTATTTAAATATTACGTAAAAAAAATATATGTAAATATTGTATTTACTTATTTAATTAATTTGCTTATATTTAAGCCTTAGTGTACTTGTATCAAATTGTTCCCTTATGTGGGAGGTAGTGGTTTTGAGTAGGGGTGGGAATAGGCCAGGCCCTTGTAGGGGGCTATGTCTTGGCCTAATTAAAGTCTAGTTAGGCCTAACTCGTTTAGTAAAAAGGCCAAGATTGAGCCAATTTCAAAGCCTATTAAACTAAACAGGCCAGGTCTATATATACCAAGTTCGGCCTTCAGGCCTACATGCCTTGCCTATAAATATAAATAAATAAATAAATATAAATATATATATATATATATATATATATATATATATATATATATATATATATATATATATATATATATATATATATATATATATATATATATATATATATATATATATGAATGCACAACAAATTGAGAATGCATGCACAACAAACTGAGTACAATGCACAACAAAATGAATACGAAAAATTAAATTCATTGCATATAATTAAACCACAGCCGTTAGCTTAATTAAATTGAAGGATCAGATTAGTTCTCATGTCCTCACCTAAAGATAGGTCCTCACCTGATCCGGAATATATATATATATATATATATATATATATATATATATATATATATATATAGGCGGGTTCAGGTGCGGCAGTGTCTTACGGTGCGGTTATTTCTTACGGTGCGGCAACACCAATAGTTCAACAAATATGCACCATCAACGTTAGAAAAATACACCACACAAAACAGAGTAAACAGAACCCTGCATCACCAAACACACACCATTAGGTGTGAGTAAAAACACCATACACTGTTCAGAAATACACCATTGGGGTTTGTGAGTTATATGGTGTATTTTTTGAGTCTGTTGTGTATTTTGTGATGTTTTATTACATTTTATTGTGGTGTGTTTTTATTACACTGTTGGTGCATATTGTTAACACTGTTGGTGTATTCTGGAATTTGACCGCACCGCCGCACGGTAAGACCCCGCCGCATATGAGCGCTCTTCTCTCTCTCTCTCTCTCTCTCTCTATATATATATATATATATATATATATATATATATATATATATATATATATATATATATATATATATATATATATATATATATATAATACACACACATGTGGTAATTGCGTGCTGCGCACACACAATGATAATTATGTGGTTGATATAATTTGGATATAATAAAAATTGACTGCCACAATTATAAGAATATTGTTGTTAGATAAGTGGTATATATGTTCTTGAATCACGATGTCTGCATGACTGCATTTGTGACCTATAGGCTATATTAGAGCATCGACAATGGAGCGTTATGATGTACATCCGTATGCACCATGCATGGTGCATACGAATGCAAAAGTGACGTCGTTTTAGCGTCTAACTTAAAAAAAAAAAAAAATCAGAATTGCATAACTACATATCCATAATTTCATAACTATACTTCCAGAATTGCATAACTACACTTCCAGAATTGCATAATTACACTTCCAGAATTGCATAACTATAATTCCAAAATTGCATAACTAGACATCCATAACTTCATAACTACACATCCAGAATTGCATAACTACACTTCCAGAATTGCCTAACTACACTTCCAGAATTTCATAACTAAAAAATCCAAAATGAATGAACTAAAAATGAATAACATAATGTTGTTGTTGGGAATCGAAACTGATTTTTTTTTTTTTAAAGTATGGTGCACATTTTATGCAAAACAACGTCGTTTTTACATCCGTATGCACCATGCAGGGTGCATACGGATGCACAGCATAATTTGCCCACAATAGTGTATTTTTTAATAATTTTTGGAACAGTAATAAATTCAACATTTGATTTTTGATTGATGGGAAGCGTAGTTTTTACATTTTAGCCAATTTTTTTTTTTTCCGATCTCATACTATCTCCAAATTCTCTATGGTGAGATGAACCTCACCCTGCTGTCAGAAGAAAATTTTAAGTACAACTCTTCAAGTACTAGACGACGGTTGGAATTTGTCTAATTCAATTCATATTTCTCAACTCACACAACAAAAACGTCAATGTCATTTATCTGAAGATGAAATGGTTTGAAAAGGAAACACTCATGGAAATTATGAAATTTTCGGCCACCTGAAAATGATCTTAAATCAAGTAGAAAGTCTTGTTCCGACCACTTTTAGTATACGAAAAAATCTTTGTTGCTGTTTCCGACCACTTTTTTATTTTCGACTTGATATAATATCACTTTCAGGTGGTCGGAAATTCCATAATTTCCAGCAGTGAAAATACTATATGTACTCCTATTCTATACTTTCAATTTGTACACTATACTTAAAATATTAATGACAGGGACGAACGAAAAAAATAAGTTATCAGAGCTCATCACATCAAAAAATAAATTTGAGGGAATGAGATTTAGGAGTAAAAATTTGTATATTCCACAATATTGAAGGCTCCTATCAATGTCGTAATCTCGTGAACGATTGGAATTTGAGCCCAATATCAATCCCAATCCCAATCCCAATCCATGCTCCTAAAAAGCATTTTATAAGTTATGTTCTCCATCAACTCCCCCACCATTTTATATGTGGGCAAATTTTACTGTGGACCATGGTGTATGTACACTACTGGAAATTCTGAAATTTCCGACCACCTGAAAATGATCTTAAATTAAGTTGATACCAAAAAGTCCAAAAAGTGGTCGGAAATAGCAACAAAGGTTTTTCCGGATACCAAAAGTAGTCGGAACAAGACTTTCAACTTGATTTATGATCACTTTCAGGTGGTCGGAAATTTCAGAATTTCCAGTAGTGGTAGTAATGTGGTTTATAAAGTAAGTATCATTATAATTACGGAGTACATTGTTAGTTTCATTTGATAATATTATTCTATTTTTTCGTTTTCTCCCCCACCATTTTATATGTGGGCAAATTTTACTATGGACCATGGTGTATGTAGTAATGTGGTTTATAAAGTAAGTATCATTATAATTACGGAGTACATTGTTAGTTTCATTTGATAATATTATTCTATTTTTTCGTTTTTTTCCGCACACTCACTAGTTTCATTAGAGCAATACGTACTAAAGTACGGAGTATCATTTTAATTATTCTACAGTTTCATTTGACAATATCTACTATATTATCCACTATACTAATAAGACTCAAAGAGAGTTAGACCTATAATGGGTAGAAAAAATGACGGTCAAATTTTTTAATCAAATAAATGCTTCCGATTGATCAGATTTTAATTTTTCATTGAGATTTCCTTATTTATCTTTAATTATATAACTATCCGTTAACTTTTCCGTTAAATATTATTTTCTCCGTTAATTTATGTTAGTTGACCGTTAACTTACTCATTGATTTCAATAAGAAAGGTGTTAGGTTCGAACCACATCCCAATCAAAGTTGGCATAATTAGTACTCTATTTTACTCTTATTAAATAAATAATAATTTAGTAGCTACAACAAAAAATAATACATATGCATTTCTTTAATTTAAAATTATGTGTCTACAATGCCTTTATTCAATATATATATATATATATATATATATATATATATATATATATATATATATATATATATATATATATATATATATATATATATATATATATATATATTCATTATCAATCAATTAAATAAGAGAAATAATTTCATTAGTTATATTGTCTTTATTTTTCTCCAATATAAAAATTCTTTACATTCAAATTCATTAATTGATTATATTCGCTACATTGTCTCTACAATGTCTTTATTCAAAAAAAAATTATCCATTATCAATAAATTAATGAAGAGAAATAATTTTATTAGTTATATTGTCTTTATTTTTCTCAAATGTAAAAAATATTCTTTACATTCAAATTCGTCAATTGATTATATTTACTACATTGTCTATTATCTTTTTTGTGCATTATTTTTTAATTAGATATCAAAGTTATAATACAAAATAATGCTATATATTTATTTACAAAATATTTTATTAATACCATGAAAAAAATTAAAAAATATAATTAAGCCAATCATATAAACTATTTAAGGGATTTGTTGACAAAGAGAGTATTCAAATGACACAACAAATTGAAGTGAGAAACTACCTCGCAATGCCCTTGTTTGACAATCAGCGGTTAGCGGTTAGCGTTAACGGGTTTGACCAGCGAATTATATCAACGGTTGGTAAAAAAATATTTGAAAAAAATAACTGTTTAGATTAACATGTAAAATGACCTAAGGGAATATAATAATAATAATAATAATAATAATAATAATAATAATAATAATAATAATAATAATAGTTTTAAAATAATAATAATAATAATAATAATTTAATAAAAGAAATAAAATTTTAAAAATAAAAAAATAAAACATATGGGGAGCCAAACGTTCGGCTCCCCTTAGTTTTGTCATTTTCCCACAATTGGTGAGAAAAGTGGTATGGGAACCTTGAGACTCATATAAAAGGAGTCTTAAGGCTCTAATTTAAAAGTTAAGCTTGCCCATCCGTTGATGGGCAAGCAGTGAGTCAGCGAAACTGGCTCTTGTTATTCAAGGAGTCGAAATGTCTCTATATAGATGTTTTGAGAAAATCATTCTCAAAAACGTTAAGTGAAAATATTGTAAATTGTAATGTTTGTATTTTCAGTGGTTTGGAACAAATTGTTGCTTCAAACTATTGAATAACCAAACACTTTCTTTAGCATTTTGATATTAGGGTTATATCATATTTACCAATCGTCCAATATCTTTGGGTTACATTATAATTAAAAATTTTAAATTTGTACTACATCTAAATTCCTTAAATTAGGAATTTCTTTATACATAATAATTTATTCAACAATAATGGTTGAACTAAATTAACAGACCAATCATGGGTCGTAGGCATGCTGGGCTCGTTGACGGAAGGGCAAGTAAGGCTCGCCGTGGGGATTCTATATTATTTGTGGCTAGCCCGGAATTCGTCAGTATGGGAGAAGAGCTTGCCACGGCCCACATCCACGGTGAGGAGGGCGGTGATGACCGAGGAGGCGTTCACCAGGCTTGGACGCGCGATAAGACAGCCTCATGCCATCGTGATGCCGGAGAACGATACACAGAATCGGCTCAGGTGTTACTTCGACGCTGGCTACAGACAACACACAGGAGAAGCGACATATGGAGTTGTGCTACTCAATCATGAAGGTGTTTTTATGGCAGTCACGGCGGGAACACTACCGGGTGCGTTTTCACCTATTATGGCGGAAGCTCTTGCGTGCAAGGAAGCCCTCTCATGGCTTAAAGGGCGCGATACACAGATGGTTGAACTACTCACAGATTGTATGGAGTTGCGAAACATGATAAAATCAAGAAGTACCGGAACTCGATCTTATGTTGGGGTCATTGTGGACCAGTGCAGGACATCTATGTCGTTATTTACTTATTGTTCTTTACATTACATTTCCAGAGCTGTTAATACTTAATATGCATGCTCATACACTAGCTTCGTTAGCTTTCGATCAGGATCATCTTATGTATTAGCAACATTAAAGTATCATTTTACTTATACTACATTTTCATTTGACAATACATTGTTGATTGAGTTTTGCTTTTTAGTTTCATTTTTCACACACTAATTTCATTTTAACAATTTCATTAATTATACTACAATTTTATTTGACAACCATGATCCACATAGCACTATGGACCATGGTCCACAGTATAACAACCGTTTATGTGTGTAGCTGTGTGCTTATGTATGGTATTGCATGGTGGACTATAGTTTGTAATAAAGTCTTTGGTCCAATTTACTTATTTTAATTTAAATAAAATATTAAAACAAACTTAGTCATAATTGATTATATTGATACCCAGCATGGTTACCCAGTCGGAACCATTATATTCACCAAGTAGTCAGGCACGGTAGTCAGACCGAAACTCGGACTCGGTATGTGATTAGCCAGCTAAATATCTTTATATTTCCGAAATCTCTCTGCAACCCATAAAATATTCTACTCTACCATAAATATCTGATTACCATAAGCATGCACATTACCATATAAATTGTATTTCTTCTACTATAAAAGGCTTTAGTCAAATACAAGGAGGTGGGCTAAAAAACAGAATCGACATCTCTCTGAAAAGAGAGCACAATTCTACATGTACAAACTACTTACAAACTATAGTGGAATTTCGATTTGACACTGTCCAAAAAGATTGGTGATTTTCATCATTCGATTTCCACGAAAAAATATGGTCTCTATTTATTTTCATTCTCAATTATTTATGTTTTATTTATCCGACCGGTTATTGATGTTTAAGACATTAACTATGAAACTTGAATCATGCATGAAATTTGAATTTCAAACTTTGAACCTCTAGCTTGCCACTTCAAAACTTAAAGCTTTTACACTTTGAAACTTGAGCATTTGATCCTTCAAATATCATTATTGTCTGATAATTCACCTTCAACCATTGATCTGGGAATTTGATGAAACTTTTATATGAAGGTCATTAAGATTTGTGACCAGAACTATAATTTTTTTCAAAAAAAAAAAAAAAAGGTCATTAAGACTGCCACAAACATTGGTCCATGGAGGCGCGTGACATAAAAAAAAAAAAAAAAAAAAAAAAAAAAAACTATCTAGGAGTGTGAATAGTGTTGGTTTTATGATTACGGGGTAGTCATTAGTCAACGGCAGGCCAACACTGTCGTACGTATGAAATTGAATTGGTGAAAATAAATTGATGAGTTGATAAAAATTTTAATAAATGATAAAAAAAAAAAAGCAGAGGAAAAATGAGAAAATGATGAATATGAAATCAGATGGGACAAGGAAGGAATTTCCTTAATTATTTGGCTTTGATTAGCCTCTCTGGCTTCTGATTTCCTCATATTGAAGGGCAGTGGCGGACCCAGAAAAATGGTTGAGTGGGGGCAAAGTTCAAATAATAAAAAATGTCTATAAATTTATAACAAAATGTTAAGCATCAAGAGCTTTTGCGAAACATTAAAACAAAAGGGATATCTTATAAAAAAAAAAAAAAAAAAAAAAAAAAAAAAAAAGAACACTTAAGAAGTTAGCTATAAATATTATTAGATATGAGCGAAAAATAAAACACATAAAAACTTTATAAAAATACTTATAACAAAATATGAAATATAATTAATTTGATAAAATAATATAAAAGTATATATATATATATATACGTGTGAAAAGTGTGTTCAAGCCAAATGGATTACATAAGGATTCGAACCCACGCCCTTCCTTAATAATGAAAGTATATATATGTGTGTAAAAACTGTGTTCAAGCAAAATAGATGACACAGGACTCGAACCCACGCCCTTCCCTTATGGACATACGCATGCTTTACCATCTCAACTGACTTCATTTTTGTTAACTTTTGCTGTTTTCTTTTACTTATACTAAAACTGTGACTATATATACACATATATATACAAAGGTTATATATGGGGTGGGGGTGGAGTGAGTGGGGGCAGCTGCCCCTACTGCCCCCATGCTAGGTCCGCCCCTGTTGAACGGTAGGGTCTTTTATATAGGTATAGGACCTGACCTTTCAGGAATATAATATTTTCCAAGGAATACTTGACCTTTGGGATTATAATATTATATTAATAATTTAATGAATATAATATTACATTAATAATTCAATAATGAACTATTATAATATTCGATCTGATAATAATCTAATTGATTGAGTTGTAATTTCGACTGGGTTGTGTATACGGGCAAATTATGCCCTGGGACCCGTGTCCACAAATTACAGGCCCAAAACGACGTCGTTTTTTTTAAAAAACGAGTCATTTAGTTAAAAAAAAAAAATCCCGCGTGTTTTATCGTTAACGGCGTTATTTTTTATTTTTTTTTTTTGGATTATGAATGTACAGTTATGCCGTTATGAATGTACAATTATGCAATTATGAAATTATAAACACAGAGCTCTAACATTATGAACTTACAATTATGAACATATAGTGATAAAATTATGACCATGGAGCTTTAAAATTGTGAATATAGAGCTTCGAAGATTATGAATGTACAGTTATGGAGTTATGAATCTACAGTTATGGAGTTATGAATCTACAGCTATGAAATTATGAATCTACAGTTATGGAATTATGAATGTACAGTTATTGATCGAATTATGAACAAAGAGCTCTGACATTATGAACTTACAATTATGAACATATAGTGATAAAATTATAAACATAGAGCTCTAAAATTGTGAACATAGAGCTTCGAAAATTATGAATGTACAATTATGGAGTTATGAATGTACAGTTATTAACATATATTAATAAAATTATGAACATATACTCTTATAACGAAGCTGTCTGATATTTATTTAAAAAAAAAAAAAGGAGATAACAGTGCCTAACAGCACTGTTACCCGTGTCCAGCATGCATGCTGGACACGGGTCCATAGCATAACGATTGTTGTATACGGATTAGGCCGCCATATATTTTGGGCCGTACTCTTATAGGCCCTAGTATCATATCCGACATCTAGCCACTCACTTTCTTGTGGCTCATGAAGTGATGACACAAGAAAGTAGAAAACGAATATCATGTTTATGCTCTGAATGCCTAAATAGTCCGTGGTGAGCCCCTCGAGTCTAAGTTTAGTATAAAGGATGTGATTTATGTTGGTTGTCTCGTTACAAATCTTAGACTAAGAAAAATTTAGTGGAAAAAAAAAAACTTAACCAAGAAAAAAGAGTACAACCATGAGTGCAATCTTCAGGACTATAAAGGGTCTGCTGGATCATATCAACCATGTTACTCCTTTTGGCTAAATCTCAAGTGAATTCTCCTGTCAAGTATCGAGCGGGTATTGCACTATATATCAACCAGCTTTCAAGGAGTGCAAAGAATGCAAGAACTTATCAATATGAAGGTCGAACAACCAAGGATTCATGACCAAGTGAAAAATTTGCCGTGACCAACAAATCATCGCAAGAATTTGAAATAACTGAAATTTTTGCTCTTCCAAGATTCAAAAGGCAGATGAAACTCCACCCAGTTAGGGGTTTGATTTTGAACAATTTGGTGACAGATAACCCATGGAGATACATAATGGCCCATGCTCCTGGATCAGGGAAGGCTTTTATGATCATAAGTTTCCTGCAAAGTTTCATGGCTTAGAATTTATTTGCTAAGCCTTTGATGGAGCTACTTTTTTTTTTTTTTGTTTTTTTTTTTCTTTTTATCTTCACTGAGTACTTACCAAGCTGTTGTATAATTACATGGTCTGCCCAAGAATATCATATCAGTCAGGGATAAGATCTTCACAGCATGTTTAGGCAAGTGTTGTTTAGAAACATGCAGGTGAAACTGAATCTCTCAACTGCTTATCACCCTCATACAGATGGGCAAACTGAGAGATCAGAGTAAACAAGTGTTTGGAGGGATACCTAAGATGTATGGTTTTTCAGAAACCCAAGAGTTGGGTTAAATGACTACATTTAAGAGTGGTGGTACAATACTAACTATCATTCTTCTCTAAAATGTATACCATTCCAGGCACTGTATGGTTATCATCCCTTATAATGGCTTTTAGTTTAAACCCAGGAAATGGTGATCTTTGTTGGTTGATAGAAAGGAATGTTGTGTTAACAGACCTAAACGAAAACCTGAAGCAAGCTCAGAATAGAATGGAGTTGCAGGCTGACAAGGGGAGAAGTGAAAGGTCCCTTAAAGTAGGAAATTGGGTTAACCTCAAAATCCAACCCTATAAACAGTTGTCCTTGACTGTGAGGAGTAATTTGAAATTATCTTCCAAGTACTATGGGTCCTATATAGGAATGTTAATCGGGCCAGCCCACTTGGTTTTGGACTAGTCCTATCGAGTTGTCGGGCTTATCGGATACGTACGATTGTCGATTATTTTATTATTTTATTCTCGAATTGGGACTAGTCCTAACCCTAAACTTTGAATTGTAGGACTTATCGGGCGGGCTAAACCATCTAAACAATAAGAAGAAGAAGAAGAGCATAATGGAGCTGGGAGGAAGTTGGCAGACTCGTATTGATCCTCTTCAATTATACACAAGGGGGTATTTTATAATTTCAGTATAAGTAATAAATAAATAAATATAATTTATATAACAAATGGCCAATTGTCTAGGTTAGATGAACTGGTTAGTTAGTGTCTATGAAACCTAGAGGATGCGTGTCGAACTCTTTTGAAAGCACTCCAACAGAGATCAGCTTTGTTGGGAACTGAGATAGTTGCTTGTTGGCAAGAACTTTATCTCTTATAGAAGATTTTGAATTTGAGTCTCAACTTGAACATCCACATCTTTTTTGTTTTCTTCCATAATACAAGCTAAGTCACATTTGTTGAAAAATCATCTCTAATTTTTAAATTTTTTTTTTAAAGCTATTGACTCTATTATATTGTAAGAGGTAGTGAATGTATATAGGTAGGTAGAGTATAAATTTTTAGATAATAATAACG